TTTTTTTTTTTTTTTTTTTTTTTTTTTTTTTTTTGATATCGATGTATTTGTTTTCAGATTTGCTATACAAAATAAACAAATAATTGAAAAGACGTATAGTTTAGGTAAAAGGAATTTTTACAAATAAGTAATGAATCTTTAGCCAAGAAATTCTAGCTGTTCACAAACTGCTGCTGCCCCATTCTGGTCGTGAGGTTTTTTTTGGTGAATTGTCTGTGAAATTCTTCCAAATATCTATTGAATTTTGCGTCGGTCTATTTTTAATTTGAAATATGTGAGATAAATACAGCAGCAGCAGCAGCAGCAACAACATTAAAAGAATTGAAAGAAAAAAAGTAGAAGCAAAAAAGTCACCTCTTCTTTACTCTACTTGTTCTCTTACAAGAAGTTTTATTGCTTGAGAAAATTACAGATTTATTTGCATACTGAAAGTCGAAACAATCAGGTTTTTTATTTGAAGCTAATACAACGGCAGCATCAATAGCACGGTGGCTGGCTTTTTGTGTTTGTTACCGTTTTCAATCTGATTCGTATTTTATCACCATTTATAAATGTTGACTCGTTTTCCTTTTCTTTCTCCTTACTTCTCAATGTCTGACTTCTATTTTTTGGATCTTTTATTTTGTATACCTCAACTTCTGTTTTCTTATTTATAAGCCAACCATAAAAATTAAGTTTGCTGCAGATGCAACCAGTTTTTAATCATTATTCATTCTTTTGACTTATAAAGTTTTAGAGGCGGAAAACAGTAATTCATTTTTGCAGATTTGGTTTCTTGAATGGAGAATTATCCTGTTACATCTATTCGCTCCTGCTTTGATGAATAATGTCAAGTAATACAATAGTTTTGCTATTTGGTAAGCACATTTTTGATAGCTTTTTTCTTTGGTCAGTGATTGCTTTGAATGTTTAAAATCTTAACTCTTTAGAGTTAAGAAAAAAGTTATTTTTTCTATTCTTCATTTTTTTTTTGTTTTTAGCATATCAGGCAGTTTGCATAGTTGTATCAGCAAACTATGATTGCCCACATTGGGCTAATGAGAAGATTCATGAATGTGTTAAACCTGTACAGAATTTTGCCAAAGCACTTGATCAGAAGGTAGGGATTTTATAAGCATTAAATTATTTCTGATATTCTCTTATATCCGACCGTTGCAAGCACCTTTTCTTCTTCAAAACAAACTGTTTGTTTCTAAGAAGAGTTACTTCACAATTCGTGCTGCATTTAGGAATCGACAGTTTCTCCAAATGTTACTGACCATAAATTCGGTAATGCAATTTCGATACCAAAAATTGGAGGACAAGTTTTTCAAGAACTGTGCAGGTAAAGTTTTTCATATTTTAACATTCCACTTCATTTTGGCTGATTTAAATAAGATCAGTAATTTGTTGTAAAGTTGTCGCTGCAATAAATTTTTTATAGTTTAATACGAGACTTTAACAAATGTGTCGTAGAAAGTCGGGAGCAGTGCCCAAAGCACATTATGATTAGTCTTATAGATGCTTCATACGGGTTTCTTTGCAATGAAGGATATGAAGGTTTGAAAAAACCGTATTAACTGATTACATCCATTTGCTAAAAATTTTATCTAAGTGTGAAGACTTGGTGACTTCAAAGCTTATTACTTCTTAAATAATTTTTTCTTGAGAAAGAATTAATTTTGTAAGGGAAAAGTGTTCTGGAAATAAATGAGGGTGAAGAAATTCAAAACTGATTATTAAGCATTTATGTCAAGTGCTGAGTGCCTAATAGAACTGGACCATAAGCCATCAGTAAAACGCTGTCACGATGAAGCTCTTGGTGATATTGAAAAAGCAAATGCTGAAGCTGGCATTACATTACCTGTAAAGCTCGACCGTATGTGCGAGTAAGTGCCATTCCTCAAATTAAAAAACAAAGGAATTCTGAGTTGTTTCAAAATTTTGTAACTCATATAATGCTTCAAACTGTCAAGTTCTTTTTGAATAACTTTAGAGCTCTGAACTTTTTTTCTGGATGCGTTCGAATGCCTATTAGGCACAACTGTGGAGTTGCCGCATGGGCCGTTATATTTCGTGTTCTTCGGGACACGACCAATGCTTTACTGCCAAACTGCCAGTTTACTGGTCAGTCAAAGAAATTGTTTTCAACGACTCAAGTAATGCCGTTCCGTGTCTACAAACCAACTAATATTCAAATTGCTCCAAGAGTTGTTTCAAGCTCAGTAAGACGTTTTACCACTTAGGAATGTTCACGTTACAATGTATACCAGTTTATCTTTGTTTTAATCAAGCAGTAAAGAATGTGCGATTGCACTGCACTCGCGATTACTAGTAAAATCCAATTTTGTTTTGCTAGACAGAAATGGTCTGTTTTCCGGTGAACGACAAAAAGGAAGCAACCGTCTTTGTTCCGAACAGGAAATCAGAATATCGCGCAACACGTACACAAGGATATGACCCAAATTCTATGTACTATAATAACAAGAAGTCGAAGTCTCGTGGAGAATCACCGCTGCCAGGAAAGCTTGCAGGAGCAGCGGGTGACTGGCAATTTTCCCTCCATTACATTCTAACTTTATGCTTGGTATATGTCACAGTATTTGTGGTAAGATCATGATTGTTAGATGTTATTCAATAACTGTTAGAAGTTTTCTTTACAAAACAAGTTTGATACTATCCTAGTACGACTTTGCACTGCCGAAGGGATAGGGAGGATGAAGGAGGCCAAAAATAAGGATGATGGAAAGTACAACATTGCTATCTTTAATCATTCTAAAGTTTAGTCTTTACCATCAAATGATTCTTTGGCACTTTGACATTTCTTTCTTGGCGTTCTGTTCAGATCGCAAAATCTTAACTTCTAAAAATTTCCAAAATTAATTACTATTTCTGTATTGGATCCCGATAAAATTTTATTCAAATTTTATCGAGAAGACGCTAAACTTCGATTTTGATTTGAAACGCATCAGAACCATATTAAGTCCCGTTTGAGGAAATGTCATTTCTTTTAATACGGCTTGCAATTTGTTTGAAATTTCTTGGTCAAGATCTCTTCTCTACCTCTAAGGATTTGAGATAAAGTGAGAATTGACCAGCCCCTTTTTTTGGTTCTGGTGAACAAGCTTTCATAACTTTAAGAGTACTGCTCAGTCTTCCACAATTCCTAATAATGCGCTTCTCAAGAAATAACTTCCCAGAAACAAAAACTAAAGTAGGGATTGTAGGTTATATTTACTGCCTCCTAACCTTCCCTCCTTTCTCACTATCTGGCGAGGAATTTATTTTATAGACCCCCTGATCCGTTACAATTCTGAAGGGGACAATCAGTCTCCTTTTATAGACTACCGTGAAAAACATCTCTTTCTTCAACATCGCTTCTAAACATTTTGTGAGTTTAAAAGTGAAAAGTTTGTAAACTTCTAACACAAATCTAAGCCGCCACTCTCCCTCCAAATCCCCCTTTAATGCCGCGTTTCTGCTAAACATCATATCAGAGCTCAAAGAATCCAACTTTTTTGTAAACCAAGGTAGTATTCAATTAACACAACTCAGAAATATCCTGAACCGTCAGGCCAAAATTAAAAGAAAGTTAAAAGAACGTAACAGTTTTACAAAATACCAAATTAAACAATTCCAGACTCAACTTCCATTCTTCCTCGCTGGGTGTGTAAAGCCGCATAGAGGATCGGTTCTTTTTGGCGGAAAAAAATGAAGTCATTTTGTTCAGTAAAAATCAGACATTTCTTTGACAATTTCCAATCATCAAGAATCAGTCTAGTAGTTTGCTCAGAGTCCATACTTTTTTTCTTCCCGCTAGAATTTGGCAATTTCCAACAAATTCACGCTCAAATCGACTCCGCAGTCAAATTACTCGTAGTACTATTTGCCCCGAACATTTGTCTCACTTTTAATTACACTGCAATTGTACAAACTGTTTCTGTATTCGGATTTGTAATTAAACCGTAAAAAACTTCACATTTCAATGAACCTCACAGAGTCATAATTTTCAAAACAAAAACAACTTTATCATTCACAACAGATCTGAGAAAAAAACAGATAGAGGTCCTGTGAAATGTGAAAACCACTTCATTTCAGTATTAAAATAAGAGCCGTTATAAGTTATGGGCGCGCTCAAACTTCCTATTTATCAGAAGCTGAACCCTGAAGATACAGGTTTAAACGGACAAACACAAACTTTGGGTTGAGTGCTCAATGAAATTCCACTCTTTAACAAAGGATTTCTTTAATCAAACACTTGAAAAATAAATATTTCCTTCTAGCCAAACTGGAAAACATTTTAATTTAATTGAATAGGAAATTTTCAACACCATTTGGGATGGAAGAAAATTCAGTGGAAAAAATTGTGTTATCCATTTGATTAAAACTATAAGATCTCACGGGAAAAAAGTTCAGTAACTCCAACTCTTAAGCTACTGCAAGCAATCCAACCAACGCCACTTTTCAGCAGATCTTACCTCTATCACCTGGTTAGAAAAACTGATGAATAAAACCTTTTTAAAGAATTAGTCGGGTTCCTTCACAAATATTCTGGAAAGGGACTGAGATAAAGTTAAGGCTGTTTCTGACAGCTTTATATTCTTAACATCATGCTGGCTGATCCAAAATGTCCTACTGAGTTTCTGTTATTTCTATTTCTTATATAAAAAGCATTTTGAAATGAAAATGGATCCACATAGCAATTCCAACACCAGCATAGTGAAATACGAGGCCGAACAAAACCAGAAAATGTCCAAAAAGTAGAAAGATTCGAATAAAGCGCTTAAATTCAGATCAAGGAACCGCAGAGAAAAAGCTGTACAGAGCAAGTAGAACCGGGTGTCAAGTACAAACTCATTTCCATCACTTCAGCAGAATTGTGCTCAAAAAAGTTATTAAAAATAATTGGTCTAAATAGATAACACTAAGCTAATTTAGCAGAGAGTAAATTTCTGACAACGTAGAAAAATTTAACCATACTTAACTTCCCTCAGTAATAATGCAAGAACAAGAGATAAATAAAAGGCAAATATAGAAGTCCAGAAACTATTCACAGTTTTTGCAAAGCTTCAAAGTCTACTTAACTTTTCCCTTTATCTTCATCTTTCTGGTTTTCACGATTTAAATATGTCCTTGTTATGTTTTCAATGGCCATCTTCCGCATACCACTAGTCTGGGCTGCATCAACCATCATTAATGGATGGAGAGCTGAACGAAGTGAATCAAATAAGTGAGGGTAAATCAACTCATAAGAGGCCAATATTTGTTTCAGCCGATGCCTAAAACAGTAACAATGGACAAACTTAAGAGATAAACATTAAACAAACAAGGGCGGTTAAAACAGACTACATTATTGGGACCCGCCTTTCTCTTGGTTGTTCAAAACACGCTGGACAGTTTTCCGCAATAACGGGTAAAGAATTTTTCTCAGCAAATTCTCTTAGACTTTTCTCCCTGATGTAAATTAATGGACGGATGATGCGTAAATCACATTTCCTGAATCACAAAAGTAATTGAGAAACTTAATAGTGAAATATTTTTACACAGGAGCTTCATACCGTACTGTATACTGTGCTTTCATCGTACTTATACTGCCATTTTGAAAAGCTGACATCAAGAAAGTTTCGGCCAAATCGTCAAGATGATGACCCATGGCCAAGACATTGTACCCATGTAACGTAGCAGCAGAAGTCAAACGGCCTAAATAGCCGATTCTTAAGGGAAAAAGGGACAAAAATGTATAAAAAAACGTTCAATCTGTTGACCTAATCCTTTTATCAATAAACAATTAAAAATCACAAAAATTTTCAAGAATTCCTTATCACTTGTTGGCTATCAACCTCTTTTCATCCTGCTACAGTAACCGCATATACTCCTGCAAGTTTTAAGTTTGGCCGCTTCACCAATTATATCTAAAAGCATTGACTAATAAAAACCTAATTAACTGCTTGGACATTTAGAAAAAACGTCTCCATAAACACATACCTTGTTCCTCATAAAAATAATCAATGTTCAGCGACCGACAATAATCAATAAGAGGACGGGGATTGTAAGCTGAAGAACAGGGATCCACAGTAATTGCGCCGAGCGAAAAAA